CAGGTAGGTTTATTTTCATTCACTTGTGTAGAGGTTATAGTTGTTGTTGTTGTTGTTGGTGTGTGTGTGTGCGTGTGTGTGTGTGTTGGGGAAAAGGAGAGGGGGAGAAGGAGCCAGCCACTTTTAAAAGTGGAACTTTTCAAAATGGAACCTTTTTATGTATCAGATCATTTGCAAACTAACTTTCATGTTAAAATTAGACACAGATGACAAAAATTTCAGCACTGCAGTCAAAGTCTTAACTCACTATTGACCCTTTTTACTTCTGCCTACTTTGTATATGATGTTTTTTTCCCACTTAAATTTCTCCTCAGTTTCTATCATTGTTCAGTAACAATTGAGTACTTATTAGGTACAAGGCATTACGCTGGATGCTGTCTGTTGAAGTCTTATTCATTCAAAATCCAAATCAGTCTGGCCAGTTGGCTCAGTTCATTAGAACATGGTGTTATAAACACCAAGGTCAAGGGTTCGGATCTCCATACCGGCCAACTGCCAAAAAAAATCCAAATCAAATGCAAATGCTTCCAGGATCACTCCTCTCCCTCATACTGGATCAATGTGCTTTACTTTCTTCTGAATGACTTTGGTCCATTGTTCCTCCCTTATGATGTTTTATTTATTAATATACTTGCTTTTCCCCTCTCCTACCCCACCACCAGTGTTGTTCCCTATTAGATTATAAATGTCACCATGACAAGGGCAAGTCTCAGTCATGTTTGCACCCATCCATCCTGCCTTAAGCATACGTCTTAAAGTCAGGAACTGAAAAAATACATGAAAGTCTTTGCAGTTGCAAAGAAAGGGAAAAAATGGAGGACATTGGCTTCCTGTATCTGTTGTCATTAGTAGAGTGGGACATCAGGCAATAAAGCATTCTTTGTTTCCATAGAACATCTTAATAGAGACAACAACTCTTCTCCTCTTCCTCCTCTTCTTCCTCTTTCTCCTCCATCTTCCCCTTTCCCTCCTCCTCGCTTGCTTTTTCTCATGATTTAATTGTAGTATAATTCAGTCTTCAAATTTCTGGATGCCCAATCTCATCTTTAAAATGGGAAAATGTATATGTTAGTATGAAAAACACTTTTTGCATTAAGTTGTAATAGTTCAATAGGGAAGCCATTCTTTCACCTTTGAAATTTAGTGCCAAAACTCAATTAAACATACCAGTGATGTCTCAAAAATGGATAGAAGAAGAACCAAACATTTGATTCTTCCTTAGTTGATTTTTCCTTAATTTTCAGAATATTATAATGAAATTTCATAGGTTGAATTGTCAATAAGAAAGGACATCTATAAGCATTTTTTTTTCTGAGCTATAGTAATGAACATACAGTGAAATGGAAATTATAGAAATAAAGTTAAGTAAACTAAACTAGTTTTTCTAATACTCTCAATTCTGCCTTAGATTCAAATCAGAAGACATTTAAAAGGAGAAGGTCTATCTTAAACTGGGCCTTTTGGCAAGGTTCTAGCACTCACCAGCACAACTTGCCCATATCTCCACCATCTCCTGTGCCAGGACAGCTGTTTGGAGTTTCTCTGCCAAATATTTGTGAGAATGATAATCTGCCCAAACCTGTCTTGGTAAGTCTCATTTTGACTGCCCAAACCTGTCTTAGTAAGTCTCATTTTGGCCTGTAAACTAATGGGAAAGGAATTTTAGGAATGGGGAGCTCTGGAAAGTAAACCTGTCCCTAGATGGAAAGATTATAGACATCCCTGGCTTTAGCTAAGAATCTCTATTATCATTACTTAAAAGAATTAAAATCTGACTTAGCTATTGCAGAATCATAAGGAAGACATAAGAGATAATCTAGATTACTGGTTTCAAGAAAGGGCCATATAAGCCTGCTCAGGTAAATTAGAATTTGCCCTGTCGATAGACAATCCATATTCTATCTCTCACAAATCCTTCTTAAACTCCATATTGTTCTGAAAGTCTTTTTTTTTTTTTACCACTTCAGTAACAGAGACTACTTAATCTTATACTTTTTAAAGTTTTTAAAACTGCTTTATTTGTATTTCAAGTGTTTAAGAATAAAGATATATTCTCTGGCATTTAGTTATATTGTTTATAGAATGGGTCAGTTGAAAGCCACTGAGTTTGTGTTGATATATTAAATAATCACTGTTAACCAACATTTTTATTGAGTATCCAGTATCCTGCAAGCACTATGCTAGATGTATGGCATTTTATGCTGTATTGTGCATCTATAAATGCCAGACACTAGTCTAGCCCCTTCACAGCTTATCTGTCACAGCAAATATAGGGGGTAGTTATTATTTTCATCATTCCTTCTTTACTAATTTTTAAAAAAGCCTCTGAACTTTACCCAGGGTTACACAGTAAATAAGTGGCATAACTAGATTTTAAATGCCACGGATTGCTTGTCTCCAAAACCCATTCTCTTCCTACACTGCAAGCAGAGGACATACAAATAGAAAGAAAGCAAAGTGAGTAAACACTTAAAACCTACTCTCCAAGCAATTTTCAAGAATTCAATACATTGTTATTAACTGTCATCACCATGTTATACAATAGGTCACCTAAACTTATTTCTGTTATCTAACTGAAATTTTGTATCCTTTGACCAACACCTCCCTAACTCCCCCGCCGACATCCCCAGCCCCTGGTAACCACCATTCCACTCTCTAAAAGATTGACTTTAATCCTTCTAGCTGTCCGCCCAGCTTCTATCCTTCAGTGCTTTTAATCTGGCCTCTAGCAGCCGAAGTACGTGTTCCCTTGCATGTATGTGTGAAGTGCTTTTTTGTTTTTTTCCTTTGCATCTCCATAGGATATGCTTTACTTTCTTAATCAAAAAGGACCCCTCACAAAAGGAATCTTCAGACTATCAGCCAATATGAAATCCTGTAGAGACCTAAAAGAGAAACTGAATTCTGGAGTCGAAGTACACCTAGACTGTGAATGTATTTTTGTGATAGCATCTGTTTTAAAGGTAGGAAAAGTTCTCCCTTTATCCACCCCGTGGTGTAGCTCTGGAGCAAATTAAACATTTTATGTTTTGTTTTGTTTCATTATGAACATTATTTCTATCTGGAAAGAACCAAAGTAGATTTAGAATATAAAAAAGGTTAAAAACATCTCAAAAAGTCAATATTGGACTTTAAAAGCCACTGCCGATGATATGACATGTCAGATATACTTAAAAAAAAATTTTTTGCCACACAACAATCTCTTCTTCAGTTCTGCCACCCCATGCAAAAAGAAAAAGTTGTAATTAAAAATTAAAATAATCAAAACATACACAGCATGTTTACCAAATAAACATCCTGCTTATGATGATTTTCTCACTATCTCACTACCTTCCTAATGAAGGCAAAGTTTTAGAAAATAGTTACAGCTTATCATGCAATAAACAAGCATTTGCCTGACAACTGAAACAAAAAACTATTGAGACCACTGAAAATTGCATTCATTTCCATAATCATCAGGCCCTCAAATATTCCTTCCTTTGTCCCCTAATGCCTTTTACTTTGGAAGTGGAGTAAGAACAGCTACAACATCTGGGCCTTCTTTCACTTTTACTACATTTGACATTCTCTATTGTTCTTAACCTTTACCCATGGTTACTAAGTCACATGTACCCATGGCTGACAGAGTTCTAAAATGTTTTCTTCTCTCACATTCTTGGAAATGTCGTACATTCTTGGAAAACCTAGAGTCAAAACCAGCTTTAAGCAGAGCTTTTGACCCCAGTAGTAGCTTCTGCAGACCTGCAGAAGGGGGCCCCATCTCCCAAAGGGTTGGGGTATACTGGAGCCACAGGTAGAGACAACGCCCCCAGCCTGCATCCCAAGGCCTGAAACATAAAAACCAAATGACGGAAAATATGGTGAAGAAGACTTTTGCATACCCCTAGTCCAGCTGAGTGGCCAGCTGCTTACAGAATTTTACTGCATAACTTCA